AGCAGGAGTTCTTTTTCTGCACCCAATTGCTTTCTCTTGTGTTCTCAGTCTTGGCCCAATTTTCAGCCCAAGTTCCTGGCAGTTCTTTGCTGGCAAGGCAAAAAAAATGTGCAGCTCTTTTTATGGCACCCTGTGAGTGTCTTGTGGGCTGGGAGGAGGGTTCTGGTGTGCCAGAGTGGCTCTGGGAAGCTCACAGGGATAGCTTTCCTATCACTCACATGGCTAGGAGGAGTCCATTGGCTTTTTACAGCAAGGGCAGTAAATCAGCATCACCTTGTTTGCTGATGTTCCAAATCCTTGCCTCATGCTTTTGCACAGTAGTTTTTTTATGAATTGGTAAAATTTTGGAGGAAAGGAATCTGTTGAAAGACAAGACTAGAGCCTGTTGGGCTTAAAATGGTGTTAGGTTGTTGGCTCCACCAAGAGGTTGGTTGTTCTGTAAGCTACCTAGGACAAGCACTGTGCTTCCCACTGCTTTTTGTTCTCCACATCCCATGTAGCAGATGGAGTGCAGGATTCAGCTAGAGCTTCTCAGAGAGTATTTGAGCATTTGGCCTGGCTCTTATTTTGAGTGACAATGTTCTGACTCCCTTTGTTGCCATGAAGCTGTGCTTTCAGATTCCTGCGGGAGCCAGTGGGATACTTAGAGCTTCCCATCGTCTCTTCCACTGTCATTGAAGCTGTAACCAACAAAAGCTGGCTCCAGGGTGAGCATAACTTGGTGATGTTTTCCTGGGTGTATGTTGGGCAGATATCCATTGCAGCTTGTGTGATGGAACACCATTTGAACGTACCAGTCAACAGCAAACTATGCAGCCTGGTGCCTGAGCTGTCAGACGGTGTCTGCAGCCTTTGCAGCTGAAGGAGATGCTGCCAGGACCTTGTTCACCCCATGTTGTACCCCAGGCAAGAACAGGAACCCGCAGCATGGGTGGGTTGAGGTGCTGGAAGGAGGAAGGTAACAACTCATCAGGCTGTGGTGCTGCTCTGGGGGACTTGTAATGGAAAACACTTGGGTCATGTTGAGGTTAAAGCAAGTTCTAGTGATGGTGCATCGGAGCTGTCCGTGGATCTGTTCTTGTGTGGCCCTGGGATATGTCCTGGTTCTCTCAGCTCTCACTGAACCCTGTTGTCTCAGGAGCATCCAGCTCTGTAGAGCTGGTGGCAAGGCTGGGACGTGGCTGTAGATCACCCAACATGAAGCAGAGCAGGGAGGTCCTTCTCCTCTCTGCAGGCACATGGCATCAGTGATGGCTCCACACACCCCAAGCATCCTGGGCCCTGCCACATGGCCCAGCCAGGGAGATGTGGAGGAGAAAGTGTTAATGTCCCTTCCCACAATAAACCTCTCTGCATGGGGGGTCCTGAAACCTGAGCCTCTCTCTCCTCCCCCAGCCCTGACACACGTTAATAAAAGGTTTTTAAACGCCAATAAAAAGGCAGCAGCCCCAGCTCACTAGGTCCCGGGGCCCAGGGTCCTTGGGAAGGCACTTCACAAATGTGTTTTTTGCATTTTCAGGCTTTTGGCTGGTGAATAAGATTGAGGAGAAATACTCCTTCCCCTGATAACAATACAGTGAGACGCAGGATCAGCAGAGTGTGGATTAAAACCAGACGGTGCATGATTAATACATGTGCTTACAGGGCTGGTCACTGTGCTTCCCTCCTCTCCAACAGAAAGGCACTTTTTTTTTTTCCCCCTCATGTATGGAGTGGACTTGCCTCAGATACTCACCACTCAACTAGTCTCAACCCTGCCTCACCTCACCAGGCAAACCAAAACCCTAAAATGTGAGGCTCTGGAAATTCACTTGCAATATTTTACTGCCCCAGACCTAGCGACTGGGTCTGTGTGGCTCCTCCAGCTCCAGGGTGCCCAGTTAGCTTCCCACTCTTGGTGCTCTTCTTGTTCCACAAGTCCTTGCTTCCTGCTCTTTGCACTACTCACCTGTCCCTGCAGGTAGCCTGAAGTCCAAGCTTTGTTCTCCCCAGAAAACACAAATTTAT